GGGACCGTAGTGTGACACTGAAGGAAGTATGACGGAGTGTAACACTGAAATAAGATATAGGACCGTAGTGGAACACTGAGAAGAAAAGGGTGTCGTGTGACACTGAAGAAGATTGGATTGTAGTGTACACTGAATAGTGTCATGTGACTGGCCTCTAAAGAAAGACGCTATGCGGGTGATAGTGAGTGTGTATCGCAGAGACAAGGGTGTCAAGGGTGACACAGTCGAGAAAGTGTATGGCGCAGAGAAAAGGGTGTCGTGTGACACAGAGAAAAGGGTGTCAAGGGACACGGTTGAGAAGGAGCGTCATTACACGGAGAAAAGGGTGTCAAGTGACACGGTTGAGAAGGAGCGTCACAACACGGACAAGTGTCGTGTGACACAGAGAGTGTCATAAGGGTGTCGTGAGACACGGGAAGAATGCAGTTGATTATAATTTATTATTGTACAAAGATGTTACTTATGATTTATTATTTTAACATATGTATTATATAGTGACACAGTAGTGTCAGAAAGTTGTACCCTGTGTGTAGGGTCAGGAATTATTATTTATTATTTTAGGAAGATGCTAATTATAATTTATTATTGTAACATGTATATGTGTTAAAATACCTCTAGACCAAAGATTGTTTTATATAATATTAAAGATTTTTATCATAGTAAAAATCATAAATTCTTATGTGTATAATGTATCCCAAACTCTTATATTACGACACTAGTGGAAGTCCCAATTAGTGTTTTTGTAATACAGGTTAAACCCAACTAAGAGCACTGGCCCGGATAACATCCCGTCTAAGTTCCTAAAAGATGGTGCTTCTGAACAGTCAATCCCTATTGCTCACATAATAAATTTGTCCATCACCGGGGTGCTTCTGAATGGTCAATCCCTATTGCTCACATAATAAATTTGTCCATCACCACTAATACCATACCCGAGGGGTTCAAGGAGGCCAGAGTTACTCCTATCTTCAAGAAAAATAGTAGGTCTGATGTAAGCAACTACAGGCCTGTTAGTATACTCAGTATAATATCCAAAATTCTAGGGAGGGTGGTGTACTGTCAAGTAGTTAAGTACTTTAATGACAACAACATTATAGCTATCAATCAGGCTTAAGATCTTACTCAACCAACACCTCCCTAATTAATCTGATGGATTACTTGAGAACTGAAATGTCAATGGGGAACCTTATAGGTATGGTAACCTTAGACCTGCAAAAGGCCTTCGATACTGTCAACCACAATATGTTAAGTAAGAAACTTCAAGCTATCGGTATAGGTTCTGTAGACTGGTTTAAGTCCTACCTTAGCAACAGGAGACAAATTGTCAAAATCAACAAAATGGAATCAGAACCCCTGCCGATAGCATGTGGAGTTCCCCAAGGTAGTATTCTGGGTCCCTTATTATTCCTATGCTATGTTAATGACATGCCTATCAGTGTCAAGCGCAAACTCCTACTGTATGCAGATGACAGTGCTCTGTTAGTGTCAGGTAAAGTCCCATAAGATATAGCTACTGTATTAACACTGGAACTGGAGTCCTGCAACAAATGGTTAGTAGACAACAAACTATCATTACATCTCGGGAAAACTGAAGCCATTCTCTTTGGCATGAAACATAAACTGAGAAGGGTAAATAATTTTAATGTCCAGTGTAATGGGGAGCCCATCACTTCAGTTCCTCAGTAAAATATCTGGGAATCCCCTCTGACCCATGCATGTTAGGAGAATTGATAGGGAACAGTGTAGTAAAGAAAGCGAATGCCAGACTGAAATTCCTATATAGACAATCACAGTGTTTACCTACTGAGGCTTGCAGGACCCTATATCTTGCCCTTATACACCCAGGACAAAATAGTAAGATTCATCCTGAACCTGGGTCCAAGAGAAGCATGTAGGCCAGGATGAATTACAGAAGTTGGATATACCGAATGTTGAAGACAGAGTAAAACAACTGAAGCTAAATCATGTTTATAAGATTGCTCACAAACAGTGTCCAGAATATCTTGCTGCCAATTTTGTCAAGGCTGGGAACCAAAGCACTCATAGTACTAGGGAGAGAGAGCATAACTTTGTAGTACCCACAGTCAGTGGCCACCCTCCAAACACCTTTTATTGTACAGCAATAAAGGAATGGTACAGACTGCCCACACATGTCAAAGCCAGTCATAGCATGAACCAGTTCAAGAAGAATGCCAAAAGGTGTCTGATGAATGTAGCTACAGAAATGGAGGGGAATGATTTTTTATTTTTTAGCTAATACACGTGTAATTTTACCTTATGCCTAGTAATGACCCTCGTATTGTAGTCTTAATGACCCTCGTATTGTAGTCTTAATGACCCTCGTGTAGTAGTCTTTTTAGTATGATAATAAGATGTTATCTTCATTATAGAATAATAATAAGATGTTATCTTCATTATAGAATAATAATAAGATATTATAACCTTTATATTATAATAATAGGGTAAAAGGACCCCAATGGAAATAAGTCACTCTGTCTGACTTTTTTGGGTTATCCTAGGTTCTCTACACATATGCTGCTATGTATGATAATCTATGTAACTGTATTTGTGTGTACCTGAATAGACTTACTGACTTATCTTTGAGCCCATTATGTGCATAGCATTTTTGCATAGGGAGAGATGGACAAGAGGGATATTGAAGAGGGATTTGTGCCTAGTCATAAGTTGGCCTGTGATACTCCAATACTGAAACTATGTACTGTGCAAAAACAAAAGCATTCACATTGCTAAACTCACAAACTAGTATTTAGTCACTTAGCCATAATACCAACTTACCTCATAATTTGTAATATTTTAAAGTTAAGAATTAATCTAAGTCTGCCCGAAATGCCTAGCCATGCTAGGTGTTCTAGTCGCCCCCTCTGTAATTAGTATTTTAAAACATGTAGAATACACAATATCCAAATTCTGTAAACTCAGCATTGTAATCCTTATAGAGAATAAACTTGATTTATTTGTTTTGTAGTTATCAAGTAGGAGTTCTGTATAAGAAAATTTACGTAAAAAAATAAACAAGGTAATCCTAAAATTGAGAAGAGCTACTTACCCGTGACTTAAATTAACAAATTTAAAAATAAATTACGTGGACCCTTGGGTTTTTCATTTTAAATCTGTTCCAGACCATCACCAAAACGAAAAGCCAAAACCAAAACCATTTACCGAAAAAGAAATAATGAAAAGGGAATTAACCCTTCTAGACCCCCAGAGGTATAAACCCAAAAAAATTTTTTTTTTAACCTTAAAGAAGATTACATGCACAAAAAAAAAATTACACAGAAATTTACCTTTATTGAAGGCGTTGTTGGGGATAAAAGACAGGGGGGAAAGGGAGGGGGAAAAAGAGATTATTTTTGGGAAGGGGGGAATTTCCCCCCATAAGGCCTTGAGATACCTAGTCCCTTTTCAAGGGTGACTTCCCTAGCCACTTCCCCCAGCTTAAATATAGATTTACAAAGCGAAAAAATGACAAATGAAATAGAGCACTAATAAAATGATAAATGAGCATTTAACACCACTTACCTTTACTGAAAAACTTGTTGGTATATGGCAACTGGGGAAGGGGAGAGGGAGAGATTAGTAATTACAGGGTACATAATTGGGCCAGGGGGCGGGGCTCCAAAATTTTTTATAGCTTAGCAAGTTACAGAGGTAATAAACCACAATTTACAAAAATAATGAACCCCAAATTAAAGGTAATGAACCACAATTTCAAAGTAAAACTCCAGGAAGTCTGGTCACAATCATACAAGTTACAAAGGATTTTCGATTACAGAGGGACAAAAGGGTCCAGGGGGCTGGGGCCCCCCAAAATTTGATAGCCCGAACTAGGTACAAAGGTAATGACTACAAGTTACAAAAGGGAATGAATTCTGTGAAGGTTACTTACGTTTTTACTTTGGTAAAATCTGAACAAATTATAGAGCAATGAGCAATTCACACTTCCAACCCGGGCACAACTGTAAAGATTATTGGGGCAAAATTGATTGTTATCACACACCACAAACACAACACACACACCCCACACACACACACCAACACACACACACCAACACACAAACCCCACACCTTTAGTTTAATATCTTTATGCACCCCAACCATCCGTGGGCGGTTCAAAAGATTACAAAAGGTACTAATGGGCCAGTGAGAGGGAGGGGAGGTTTTTGTTGGAAAAATGAACAATACAAAAATCTACGCTATTAATACAAAAATTTAACTAATATAAATAAAAACATATTATAACATAGAAAACATGCCATATACTTTAGAAGAAAAAAAAAGTCAATTT